AATGCAGCAACAGCAAGTATACGCGGCTGGGTAAATATATGAAAGTTTTCAAATCTTACTGATACAGGAAAAGGAAAAATATGAATAGGAAGGAAAAAGCCTCATCTTAATTATTAACAGTTGAAATACACGTACCGGTGGGATACAGGGGCCAAACGCTTACTCTTTCTGTCTCTTTTGACGTGCCAAAATATTAATGTCATCACTATCACTGGTGTTTGCACTTTAACTAAACCAATATTGATCTTGATTCTAATAATATCACGAAGCACACACTTCTATAGTAACAGATTACGGACCGTCTTGACCTTCACGTTCCCAATGTAGCTATCGAACTAGTGTACTAGGTGAGCGATCCAACTCGATCGCACTCCAAACGAAGTGAAGAAGCTTCCATTAGCCGAACGCACACAAAAATTAAGCACCCTCCCCCTCCCCAGCTGCACGAAGAGGCGTGTCATTCAATTGGGTCAATCTATCTAGAGCGATAGATTCATTGTGTACGCACCCTAGGACACTGATAAAAGTATTGAGTGCTGGCAAGATTTTTAATTTTGTTGGGATTCGGGACAGATAACGTTCACCCAATCTGAGGATGTGCAATCTCTTTTGGTTTTGGTTTATTTGTAAGCAGATTGAGAGCGTCTTCATGCTGATTCGAAATGGTATGCGGCCCACGGAGACTTGTAAGAAATCTGGTGGAGTTTATTTACTGCCAAATTAAGTCGCATATTTGATGGCAGAACCTAAAACCTCCTACAGCTTGCTCGAGAAGATTTTGAGCTGCATTTTAACTAAGAAAGGACAACCTGGACTTTATTCTTTTTTTAGTTATATTACTCCTTTTTATCCACATTGGAAACTGTCTTTTACACTGTCACATTAATGTTGTTTATTACAAAAGTAAAAAAAAAAAACAAAACAAAAAAAAAAAAAAAAACAGATACATTCTAAGGACTTCAAAATTTTCAACCTTATATATCTATAATATTATAGTTTATGTAATCCCTTATGCCGTGCCCTAATCCCAAGTAGCCGCCGTTGTGGAAGATGATGGATGAGAATACATCGCTGCGTTGATACGTGACATGTATTACTTCACGATAGCACTATTTAATTAGCTTGTGTAACCTTAAGAAACTTCTGTGATGTGTTAACCTATGTATGTGTGCATCGTCGTTATCATCATCTAACTTGAGTCACTGGGTCCCTTTTCATCTGCTTGGAGGACATCTTTTTGGCCACTTTCACCCCCCCCTTTAAAGTTGGGTGTTTGACGATATTTCAAAGAGTCCGTTCTCATATCTTAAACTTCAGATCGATCAAGCAGGGTTGACCCATCTCCGAGGGGTTTCTCGCTGAGGTGCTTTCAGCGTAAGCGGCTCTGATGTCTGGCAAGCCTTCGGAAGCTGTTAGGGAGTTATTTACTATCGTAGGCGTGCCAGATATCTAAGCCACGTATGGGAATGGGTCAAAGTCACCATCAAACTCATACATCAAAGTTATTGAACTTAAAATACTGATATTTGTTGTAGTAGACCAACATTCGTTTTTCATGCGGAAGTGAAAGCCCGATGTAACAGAAACTTCAGAAGAAGAAATGATACCGAAATTAGTGAGAAATTTGCCCTCAGTGGAGCATATCTGAATTGTAATAAAAGTGTGATTCTTTCATTTTTTTAATCTGTCTTTTTGTACAACAGTTTACTTTTGTGCTTATAAGGGATAAATGGGGTGTATCTTACAGCGATTTTACAAGACGTATCACTGAGGTATAATTCAATGGTAAAGCAAGTCTTTTCCTCTCTTATAAGACGAGCTTTAAAATAATTTTATGTTGTATATACTGGTAAAACAGTTACGGACAGGATTTGCATTTTCAAAAGCCTATGCTTTGATCAGAGGGTCTGAACAAATTCAAGTAAAACAAATAAAAAAATAGTCACAATCCTTGTGAAAACGTATAATAAAATGTGAAATAAAGAAAAAGAATCAAACTAAGAATAAAATAAAAATTCATTTGGATAAAAAACAAAAAAGAGCATTACCTGGGATAGCTGTTTGTCCATACACTCCGAGCATCAAGGTACTTGCCCATACAAGTAGAATCTTCAAAGATGCCATCGTTGGTAACGAAAACTAACAGGTGAGAGACAAGACAAAAGTTGAACGGTTATCACTCTCTGTAAGAAAACAAAATGTCAAAATCACCCGAGAGTATGCAGTAAAAACGTCTTTTTTAGTGAAAACCCGCAGCGTCGAGCGCTATTTAAAGTTGGCAGTAACGAAAGACGTGTCTCAGCTAAAAAACCATGGGCCGTTCCTCGATTTGGGGGCACTTACTCAGATGGTAGAAGCAGAAATCTCTCCGCTGAGGCACCGTGGCACAGTGAGCGCCCAATCAGAAAAAAGGAGTACGTCAAGTTCCTTGTGACCTTAAACACTCTCTACACTTATGCGTGACAAGATAGGGACGACACAGAGCACCTTGTGTGGCGGTAGCGCGAGGTTACGCTGCACCGGGCCCCCATTCAGGGTCTCCAGGGTACAGGCTGTCTGGGACAAGTGGCTTATCTCTGTTTGATGACATATCGCAGGCCTGGGCTGCGTTTGGACAAATTTTAGAATCTGACCGAAAGCCCAAGAAATTCGTCATGACACGATAACTTTAAAATTTGGCAGTTTCTGTGATTTGGTTTTTAAGTCGTCATTCACGCACGGGTATCCAACTGAGCATTGTGCACTTGGTTGATGTGATCGTTTTGTGATGACGTTTATCATACCCAGTCCGTGCGAGGCTGGAGATGATTCAATTTTCATTAGAACTGCACAAGTGTTCACCGTGCAACGAAGTAGTGTCATGGCGTCCATTGTGCGATTCAAGATCAAATTTATTTGATAATATATTTTTTTGAAAAAATTCTCTAGCATTTATTTTTCAAAAATTAGTTTATTTCATTCACCCTTATTTTTCTGTTGCACATCTGAAAATGTTAGGCAAAAGTGAAAAAAGGTAATTTTACAGTTTATCAAAGTAGGAATGCATTACGGTTTCATAAACAATGCATGCAAAAATATGTGTAAATTTCCAATAGGAAAGCCATACAACCGCAGTCAAAGAGGAACTGCTGCTGGTTGAAATATTTTCAACTATCTTTTGCAGACATACTTGATTTTTGTAATATAATTCGCCTGATTTTTGTGGCAGAACTCACTTATGAAATAACTATTTAAAGGGATAATAACTCTTCGTATGTGATCTATATTTCACAATAAAAACATTGTGAACAACTCATAGAAATATAATAAATTCTGTTTTACTACAAAAACGGCAGTTATAGCTATTATTCTGACATCTGAGCTTGTCTTTAGACAACGTGACCTCCATTGATGGCTATACTCTGTTAAAATGTCTTAAGAGATTTTAACAAAAAACCAAACTTTTTAGAAAAAAACCAGGGACTTACTTTGAATGTAAAAATGGATTCATTAACCATTGGTAAGTATGGAAAAATTGTTGTTTACTCCAGGAAAATTCATTTTTTGGCCGAAACGAAGAGTTATTATCCCTTTAAGATGCAAAAAAACGTCATTTTGTTTTGTGATATCCATATGCAAACAACTGATTGCCTTCGCTGACACGGGAATACGCCACAAGAAGATCCGACTGTCGGGAGGGGTCATCGTCGGTCGGTATGCCCATAATTTGCCCCTGGACCGTCCCGTTCATTGGTACAGGCAAAGCCAGTTTGACAGAACCTTTGATATCCACGACGTACATGTAGTTGTAAAATATTGACATAGACGGGACGTCACCATTCTTTGCTGCTGACGTAGCGGTTTCTGCGATGCCGGCAAATACGAGTACTGGACCCTGTGCATTGCCATCTTGTGACGAAATGATCATCAGTTCTGACGTCATGTTAAACGAAGNCAAGATAGGGACGACACAGAGCACCTTGTGTGGCGGTAGCGCGAGGTTACGCTGCACCGGGCCCCCATTCAGGGTCTCCAGGGTACAGGCTGTCTGGGACAAGTGGCTTATCTCTGTTTGATGACATATCGCAGGCCTGGGCTGCGTTTGGACAAATTTTAGAATCTGACCGAAAGCCCAAGAAATTCGTCATGACACGATAACTTTAAAATTTGGCAGTTTCTGTGATTTGGTTTTTAAGTCGTCATTCACGCACGGGTATCCAACTGAGCATTGTGCACTTGGTTGATGTGATCGTTTTGTGATGACGTTTATCATACCCAGTCCGTGCGAGGCTGGAGATGATTCAATTTTCATTAGAACTGCACAAGTGTTCACCGTGCAACGAAGTAGTGTCATGGCGTCCATTGTGCGATTCAAGATCAAATTTATTTGATAATATATTTTTTTGAAAAAATTCTCTAGCATTTATTTTTCAAAAATTAGTTTATTTCATTCACCCTTATTTTTCTGTTGCACATCTGAAAATGTTAGGCAAAAGTGAAAAAAGGTAATTTTACAGTTTATCAAAGTAGGAATGCATTACGGTTTCATATACAATGCATGCAAAAATATGTGTAAATTTCCAATAGGAAAGCCATACAACCGCAGTCAAAGAGGAACTGCTGCTGGTTGAAATATTTTCAACTATCTTTTGCAGACATACTTGATTTTTGTAATATAATTCGCCTGATTTTTGTGGCAGAACTCACTTATGAAATAACTATTTAAAGGGATAATAACTCTTCGTATGTGATCTATATTTCACAATAAAAACATTGTGAACAACTCATAGAAATATAATAAATTCTGTTTTACTACAAAAACGGCAGTTATAGCTATTATTCTGACATCTGAGCTTGTCTTTAGACAACGTGACCTCCATTGATGGCTATACTCTGTTAAAATGTCTTAAGAGATTTTAACAAAAAACCAAACTTTTTAGAAAAAAACCAGGGACTTACTTTGAATGTAAAAATGGATTCATTAACCATTGGTAAGTATGGAAAAATTGTTGTTTACTCCAGGAAAATTCATTTTTTGGCCGAAACGAAGAGTTATTATCCCTTTAAGATGCAAAAAACGTCATTTTGTTTTGTGATATCCATATGCAAACAACTGATTGCCTTCGCTGACACGGGAATACGCCACAAGAAGATCCGACTGTCGGGAGGGGTCATCGTCGGTCGGTATGCCCATAATTTGCCCCTGGACCGTCCCGTTCATTGGTACAGGCAAAGCCAGTTTGACAGAACCTTTGATATCCACGACGTACATGTAGTTGTAAAATATTGACATAGACGGGACGTCACCATTCTTTGCTGCTGACGTAGCGGTTTCTGCGATGCCGGCAAATACGAGTACTGGACCCTGTGCATTGCCATCTTGTGACGAAATGATCATCAGTTCTGACGTCATGTTAAACGAAGAGACGTTTAATGCCTTTGACAACTGGAGAGTGGTCAGTATATCACCGTCGTCGTACTTCATGCGGTAGAGGCCGCCAGATCGAGTGGCAAGCCAAATGGCTTGAACTTCTGGATTTGATTCTTTGATACGCTGTTGATGAGCAGAAGGGTGGAATCGCAGCGTAGAATCTCGCCGTAGACGTACCGGGCCTCGGGCGACAGGTTTGGCCAAACCCATGAACCTTTCAGGAATGTCATAAACTTCCTGTCCAAAAATAGCTCGTAAATTATCCGAGGCTCTATTAATTTGGCTCCGTTGCCCTTGGTTTTGTGGCGGATGATGCGGCTTCGGAACGGCAGTGTTGAGACTCTCTTCCGCCGCCATTCTTACGACGTCAAGATCTTGAGTGTACTTTAGCGTCCCACTTGTTCCGTTATCATGGAAAACCAGCAGTCGGTTCTTTACGCCGTTTGTCCCACTGGAGGCCACGTCGTTCGTCTCTGCTGGGATAACCAAGTAGACGTAATGGCGATACACCATCAGGCGAGGGCCGCTTGGGTCATCATTCGGTAGGTATCCTCCTATGTCACCCAGAAAGGATCTGGGGGTCTCCACCTCGCTGGTGAAATTATAAATCCAAATGACTTTGATGATTTGGACCATGATGTCTCTTAAGTCAACCGCGTACAGACGAAGTATCTGGAAATTTCACGAACGGGATAAAATGAAAATTAGCATTTGGCAATACGAAATAAACACTTTCTTATCTCAATTTTTCAACACACTAAAAGCTTTCTTAATAAATGCTTTATATGTCTTAAATTATTTGGAAGTTGAAAGTCTTACGTTAATCCATGGGTTGAGCCAGCCAAAACACTATGAACATCGAATTGAAAAGAACATTTGCAAATAAAAAAAGAATAGGTATAAACTCACGAACCAAGAACTTTTACCACTTCTCGATCATCTTGCTGCTTGCTTTCATTCACTGTAGGTGCGTAACAATTTGAAAGGTGAATCTGCAGTGCTTAAATTAGTGACCCAGCCGCTTTAGTGAAATAAGCGTGATGATAACGGGAAGACTTGAACCACCTATCACCGATAAACACCGGGATATTCACATGCCCCCCCCCTCCAGCGATACGACTATAGACAACTGTCGCTCAATCGTTCCGTCAATGCAGTGCTATATGTCTCCATCTGGCAAATCGTATGCAATAGTAACCAATTTTATGTGATTTGGGCACGGAAAGCAAATCGTATAATTATGTGAAATAATACTCTCATTTTCATGGAATTGAAACAAAGAAGCCCTATCAAGAATTGCACATTTTATTGTTTATTGTTGCGCCAGACCAGGGAATTATATTAAATATAATTCCCTGGTCAGACTTATAAGAATAAATATGTACCGGTAATTAATAATAATCATTCAAGAGCAACCCATTATTTTTAACCCTACTGGCCACAGTACTGCGCAGCTTGTACTGTAGAGATTACAAATACAAGTTAATTATCTGTTACATTGAACTTATTTTTGTCGAGAAGCACTGCCAATGGCAAATAGCACTTGTCCCTTTGCTGTAATGGACAAAGCTGCGAGCTGATCTGGTTGAACAGACGGGTCACTGTCACTAGGAATTCCAATAATCTGTCCTTGAACCGTTCCATTACCTGGCACCGGGACAGACCACTTCAATCCAACGCTGGAGACATCGACGGCAAACACGCAGTTCTGAATCAGAAAAGGTGCGGGTCCCTTGCGTGCAAGACCAGCGAATAGTAAGGTCGGGTCCTTGCCGTTGTCATCGGTGTAAAGCATCAGTTGTGATGTGATATTGAATCTTTCCACTCTGAGCAGATAGTTCAATGGTACTGTCCGCTGCATGGCACCACTTGCTGGGTCTATGCTTGCCAAAATGCCGGATCTTGTTATCAACCAGATGGCGTTAAGGTTAGGACTTCCGATATCAGCTGAAGCCCTTTGAGGACGGTGACCAGTGTGGCTATCCTCCCGGAAGAACGTCTGAGCGTCTCTTTCGGAAAGGCCATTATCGATACCCGTTTCTCGGAGATCGTGTTCATCTATCGGAGCTTCCAGAAAGTCGTCTTTATTCAATTTGTTGCCATTGGTTACCATTCGAATGACGTCAGAATTCCTGTTCACAAACTGCAGAGATGCGCTGTCGCCGCTGTCTCGTACAGCCAAAAAGTAATTTATGGCGCGGCTTTCTTCTCTCGTAGGGAGAATAACATATATGGTTTTCTGAAACGCCATGATTTGAGCCCCATATTGAGTAAGGACCGTAGGTCTGTTCTTTTGATTCGTCTTCGCAGATACAGTAAAGTTCCATGCTATCTGGAGTCGGTCATTGATAGTGCGTCGAAGGTCGACCGCGAAGATTCTTATCTCCTACAATGTATCAGTTAGTTATGTACAAGCAATCACTGCAAGCGTAAATTAAATCATGATGTCATATCAGGACGTATGCTTCCACCATAATTTTTTAATATTTCTGTTAAGGTCACAATTGAAAGGCATCTTCCCGTATTCTAAAATTCAAATTCAATCATTTTCTTTTGCAAAATCATCACTCATGTCAATAAATATATAATTTGTTAACTTACAGATCGTGCTAAATCGATGTTGAAAGGGCATTGCGATGAGAAATATTCTAATAATTAATAAGAATGTGTGCAACATCACCAAAAGAATTTGAGTGCTTCAGCGGCGATCAAAGAACATTGCAAGGAAAGTTATTCAACAAGGAAATCCTTTGCCTTCGGCGTAATCTATACGGTGTTTCGCCACGCTGAGTGCAAGCAAAGCAGATTAATAATAAATGCTTGTAACACCTACAGCACACCGGTAAAGGTAAAACATATTTTTTCTTCAAAAGGCAGTTCAAACGACGCGTGATCGATACGTCTGCTTTGGACAGTGTGCGTTAGGTCTAAAACAAAGAATAAAGCTCATAAAAAAAAGGTACGGAATACATACAGGAGCGGACGGCTGCGTGCCTCCATTGTTAACTTTAAATTCCATAAGGATGTAGACCCGATGTCCGGCAATGACTGGTTGGGCAATGGGCACAAAAGCTCCCGTCTGGCTGTTGATCTTGTCGTTAATGTAAATGCTTCCCATTGGTATACCGTCTAAAATGGAAACAAACTGTATGAAAACAGATGACAGGTGACGGATGACAAGGGACACGTACAATGACATGTGACTGGGGGAAGAGTGATGGTGTCAGGTGACAGTGACTTTCTACTTTTCTTTCCCGATTAGGACCTCACAAACGATAACCCCGCCCCTAATTAAAGCACTTTAAGTCGACATTCCAATCTATTTTCGAGGATAAATATATATTATTTTTTTTGTCTAATATCAAGCGCCTCTAACCTGTGGTGTAGGTGATCAGTCTTCCAGATTGTCGAGATATGATGAAGAACAAATTATTATTTGCCATCGTCAAACTGAAACGAGGACAAACATAAAGTCAAGTAAACACCGGCGCACTCAATACCGGATGAGCTCAGCTACCACAATCACGTTAAGATATGGAGGTTTACGGTGCGACAGGAATGGAAGTCCTAGGAATGGACGTCCGTGGAGCCATATCATAAGTACAGGTTAGGGTTAGTTGGAGTATTAAGGCTAGTATATGGGACACAGGCCCGTAGCCAGCAAGGGGGGTTCCTTTTCTGAAAAACTTCGTGTACCTAGATCAAATTTTACTCAGAGTGGACCTTTTCCCAGCAAAAGGGGAGGATCTTTCGAACCCCCCGACCCCCCCCCCCCCCCCCAGCTACGGGCCTGCGACAGATGTCACCTGTACAATGTAATGGGGACTATAGTTCCTAGCAGACTACCATTCCTGTCGACAATGATCGTTTGTTGAATTTTAAGTTGCATTAACTCCTAAAGCTTATGCACTATATTCACTCATTCAGATAAATAGACAAAATAAAATAAGTAAGTAAATATGATGTAGGACGCTGACCTCAACTTACCTATAAACTGGCCTCTCAGATGGTTCCATCGTGATCGCCTTTCCGTTCATTTTCCCGCTGTTAAAGTAATAGACCAGGCTGTTGCCATCACAGGCGATGATGTCGCCCCCTATGTTCATAATTGGAAGTGGCGGGAAACGGAGGAGCTCGTCTGTCCATTGAATACTTCCGTTGATTGGGTTGACACTGACGTAGCCTCTGAAATGTGAAACATTGGGAGTTATTTTTATTTTTTTAATTGTACGTTTTGCGTAATGTGTCGCATAAAATGTAGCAAGCACGTGTTCCACCTGCACTTTATTTAGGCCAATAACGGTAATTTGGACAACACTTTGGGTCGGTTTCACAAATTGGTCTTTATCTTTTAGATTAAATATTTGAGTTCAAGGCAATATCAGAGAGTGGTAGTCAGAGATACCCAACTGGGTGTAGTGAAAGAATTGGCCTGAAACACTAACCACATCTTTTCTGTTATAAAATTGGCACAATATATCATTTAATTGAATAGGTCTATGACTGGATTTTTCGTTGGTAAAAGTAGATACAAATTTTAGTCTTTAAGGTTAGGCCGATTTGCTGGCTAAAGTTCATTTTCGAGATAAGGCCCCTGGTCTAAAGTTGCAATGTACATGTAAGTGCGGTCAGTGATAAACACCATTATCCAACCTATTAACCCATAAATACCGTGACCTCTTCATTGGACCACTGACTGGCTCCTGAATAATACAATAAGGGCACCTGTCGCTGATAATAAATACCTATATTGTTGGATAAACTACCATTTCTTGCAACAACAAATATATATGTTAAATGTTGCTACAATTGCTTTTCAACCATTTTTGCTAAAAACAAGAGGGGCTGGGGGGGGGGGGGTCTGTCGCATTGAGCAAACCGGGGGGGGGGGGGGGGGGAGAGAGTGGGGGTTCTAATATCTAGACATTCAGGACCCTTTTCTGTGAAGCGATGGATTTTGACGGTAAGCAGACGAAATATGAACCGGTAAAGTATCAATTTATTATTTAGGTCTTTGACAAAAGAACTTTTACTTCACCGTTTTTGTATTCTGAATTTTAAACAAAAACGCCAAGGGGTTTATGGTAAACATATTGTTAGGCTCCTTTTCCTGGCGTGCCTTCACCGTAATCAAACAAAAGCCTTTGCCTAAAAAAACCATGAGAACCGTTTTTCGTTCATTAATCGAAAAAAAAAAGAAAGAAAACGACTCACGTTCCCTTAAGCCGTATGGCCGGACAGACGATGTTCACGTCGTTCCCAACGCACCCTAACGGACTCCCCGGCAAGGGGGCCTGTGATACTTGCGACGTCCACCGCACCGTGACGTTTCCCTGAGGGAAATTGCCCAGGACTGAGGAAAATGTTCCCGAAGGCGTGCAACCGTAAGTCGGACAGCCAATGATGACGTCGCCTTGCGCAGCCGTCTCGTGAACCAGGAAGGTGAGACCGAGGACCGCCGTGAGCAGGGGGAGCAGTGTGGTAAAGCGTACGTCCGGCATTTTGTTGTGAATGTGTGACCAAAGTTAAGGGGGTGTGTCTGAGCGGAGTGCAATGTTATCACCTTGTTGATTGGGGGCTGGGTTATCTATCTTGTCTAACAGAGTGAAAGGTCAAACGATTAGCGCTAAAGGCTTACTTACAATGCGCACACAAAACAGCAAATATACGGACACTTAAGAGCAAAAAGAATTTTAACTAGAGGATCTAAGGGGCGTTACCGCCTCCAGGTATTGTCCCACCAGTGAGATTACCGTAACCTCATTCCAGTTTTAAGGTAGCTATGGTGCATTTTGCAGGAGTCTATAGAGCTTATAGGATACTTGACCATCTCATTCTGAGTAAGAGGATACAAAGAAGCTGTTGCCACTACTCATAGATAATATCACAAAACTCAAGGAAATAACAATAATAAAACATTTTCAAGTGTTCTATACAAGAAATAACATAATACTGCCATCATCATAAATTCTTTATTTGATTCAGAAATTAATTAATAATCAACAATTTATAAAATTGTGAATTGTTATATAAATTAGCATTCCAACTTGGCATAACTGTAAAATAATTACAAATTAAAACAGCTCACCTTATATAACCTTGGACCCACAACACAAGGGCTCAAGGTTAAGCAAAGTGTTTTACTAGGTCATAGCCTTTGTAAATAATGAGCGAGAGACAATAAACGCGACTGATTGATTGATAATTACCAATCCTCATTCAGAGTGTTGATGTTAGACTATTCTGCAATTTTCTGAACTCTAAATGTTGTTCTTCATACTGTACATTTTTAAATGGGAAAATTCATTTAATTCCCTTTTACATAGTATAAATTGCACTTTGAAATTGGTCAAAAAATGAAAAACCATAGTGTCATTCATCATACAATCATTTAACTATGACGCTGTTGACTACTACAGAGTATCACAAAAATTCTCTTGGCTACAATAAACATTTTCTGTCACATACTGTCATTAATTCAACACAAGTGCCCTTTTCATCCATTTCTACAGTTGCACATTCTGGAATATTATAAAGACAAATTGATCCAAGGGCTGCTTCAAGCTCCTTTAAAGTTATTACCATATATTACATCTTAGATCTCAACATCTTCCAAGGTTTTTGTAAATATGTGTGCATTTGCATTATTTGTAACACTATAATGCAATTTTCATTAATTGAATAGAGAGTATCTTAATATAATAATAATAATAATAATAATAATAATAATAATAATAATAATGAAGAACGAAAAAATAATAAAAAAAAAATAAATTAAAAAAAAAAGAAACAAATCTGCTTAACAAGCTGGTACAATCAAAAGCCAATAGAAAATGAAATCCAACAGATAACTCTGATTTAATGGAAAGAAAGGAACTATAAATTTCAAATGTTTTGCATGCTTTTTTTCACAGGTTTCTTCATCCAACAGTATATCACCACCCATCACTTTGATAAAAAAGATTTGCAAGATTTCTTATAATACAGTTATAATGGTATTTGTTATTACAGCCGCAGTAAAAAAAAAAAAAAAAAAAAAAAAAAAAAAAATATATATATATATATATATATATATATATATATATATATATATATATATATATATAAAGTCAAAAAGTGCATATTTCCAACATACAATTGAGTGGTAAGTGAGACTTTAAATGCATGTTAGTTAACTGAATAACATCAGCAGCATTGTGTTGATTTACACCCCTCTTGAAAAATGTGGCTTGTCTTGAGAAATCTAACACTAGATGTCACCTGCAGTAACATTTGATCTTAGTTGGTCTTGATATTACAGTATATAGCTACTGTCAAATTGAAGCAAAAAAATATAACACCATTAATGATGGTTACAAAAATCTAAGTTTATCTTTTCTTCTCGGAAACATTTGCTTTCCGTTTTAAATAAATGATCTGTAAGCTAGACACATGTATACATACTTTGAAAAACATATAACCTTTAGTTCACCACATTCAATAAATCATTACTTCCAAATAGCATTCACATAAGGAATGTTGCTTTCTTAACTTTACCGGTGATTTCATTTGGTTTTTTTCCTGAGGATTTATATTAAAAAATAAAAGCATAACACAGATACAAAGAAATTGTCTTCTAATATTTCTATAGGCCCCATTGATGGAACATGTACAGCTTAGTTACAGTTATAATAGACTTATGTGCTACCTTTGGCTCTTGTTAGTCATTGGTAACTTTACCCTCGTCAAGGGCCACAAACCCTTTTTTTACTAGTCTTAGATACAATTATCGAATTGTGTTGTTTTACTGACCTCCTTTCATCTCAAATATATTAAAAGGACCATAGGAAATAAAGGGAAATAAAGAAACATACCAAAGTGCTTGCAAACAAGATGTGACTCTACCTGTAAGCTTTGGAAGCTGTTGGCTTATTTACCTGTCTTGTGGAACATCCTTTTTGGTCCTTTTGGCTTTAATAAACATTCTTTGGAAGGCAACTTCCAATGGCCTGTTTGCAACTCCACAATTAAAATGGGCACACAATTGTTTTAAATCGAAATATTGTAATAATTTGTGCCAACTAATTACATACTATTTTTTATAAATGCTCTAATTGAAAATATAATAACACTTGTTAATTTCAAAAGTTATACAATTAATGACCTGTGATGACTAGTAACAATGCAAAATTTTTTTTCCAAATCATGAGTGGGGTGATGTTATAAAAGTAAACTTGATTGGACAAATATTGACCAATCATTGCTCTGTGTCTATTTGCTTTTTTTGGCATAATTGATGGAGTAATTAAATGCTTGGGGTGGTTTAGGATGAAGGTGACATACAATAAATAAATAAATAAATAAATAAATAAATAAATAAATAAATAAATAAATGTATGCCAGCTTTTTATGGTTTGTCTGTTACCAATTACACAAACAACAGAAAGCCATTGCCACAAAAGAAATGGATGAATCCCACAATAAGAATGTTTGGAAACCTATTGTGAAAAACTAACATTATACATGTATGTGGTCTCAGAGCAAACCCCGGAATGTTTACTTGCTAGACAATTATATTATAACAAGGACATGTCAGTAAAATTGACAAGGTCATTTCTGAGCAGATCTTTGAGTAATAAACAGTCCCAAAAGGTTAAATAAAAAACTTTGGAGTTTTAGAAACTATCCTGTTCAAAGAAACAGTGCCTGTAAAAAGAACAAGTTTTTATCAAAACTAATAAAAAAAAAATTCTTTGACTAATATAGATAATTGCTTTTTGAAATTTGAGCCTATACAGAAAACCCCATATTAAAAATCACCCTTTCCATAAAAAAGATTTTCAAAAAATCTGAAGATGTAAATAAGATGTGGCAGGGCAGTCATAATCTCTTGCCCCTTCCTGGAACAGTTTCTCTTCTCCCCCCTCCACCTCTCTCTCTCTCTCTCTCTCTCTCTCTCTCACACACACACACACACACACACACACACTATAAATCCCTATCATCCAAGGAGTCCAAACTAGCTGAACTGGAAGACTGTGGCAGCATATGTTTCTGTTGTTTCCTAACATTCCAGTGAAGACATTTTCCCAGACTGTCAAACCAGTCTCCAATTGGGTCCTTCGTACATATACAAGGCACTGGGTAGGTCGAGGTTGTTATACGGAGAGTGTCCCCCTGCTGGAGTTCTTGACGGCTTCGGCCATCAAAGGAAGCCCAGGCTGTGTTTCTGGCATCAGGAGATATCATGACCTGTAACACATAACATTAAATTTGTATATAAAAAGTAGACAGCAAAGCTGGCAAAATACAGACACCACATAGTATATCAAACATAATCAAACTATGCAGACTGGATATCAACTGTGGTAAAAATGTTAATCATACCTAGACAAAACTTGTATTTTACCCATTTCTTTAGGAACAAATTAATTTTTACCATCATTATGCAAGAATGAAAGACCTGTTTCACCAAGATATAAGTTATTATAAAATTTGTATTCTGAAATATCAAATGTTACTGTCATTCAGTAAAATCATGAAATTCATGGTTGCTTTATTCATGAAAATATATGCAAAGCCCTCCCCCCCAAATTTTGCAGACAAATAAGTTCACATAACTGCATGTCGCATTAAAACATTGGCATTCATTTAAAACGCAACTACATTTTGTAATCTACTTGACCAAATAAAGATTTAGAAATTTATATTCAATTGGGCTACTAGATTTACAAATGCAAATATTTATAAAATTGCTTATTTAATATATATTTCCTTTTTTATGAAGAAAATCCATAATCATTTGGAAATTTTCATTAATTTGACAAAAATCTCAAAGTCAATACCCTCATTACTAACCATGACTTCCACTCCCGCAGGCACAACGATTGGTCGAAAGGAGAGCGAGTGCGGGCAGACAGGCGTTATTACGATTGCCGGCACCTGAGGGTGGATCATGGAGGCCCCGGCCGCAGCAGCATATGCTGTGCTTCCTGTGGGGGTGGAGATGATTAGACCTGAAAACAAAAAAAAAAAAAAAAAGAATATACACCGACTGATTTCATTTATTTATTTCTTCAAATTTTCCATGATGTCTTATTGATGACAGCTGGCCGCCATGAAAAATTTGAAAAAAAAAAAAAATTGTCCAATGAGTGACCAAGATTAAAAAAAATGTTTTAGCATTACAATTCACTAAGATATCAGAAGTTCTTATCCAGTCTTCCTACTTACATAGGGACTATTCTTTTACTCACCATCTCCTTGTACTGATGTCACCAGTTTCTTCTCCACATACAGATCGACATTACAGAGATATGGAGAAGGTCCTCTGTCTATGACCACTTCATTGAGAGTCTGAACAGAAGGAAAAAGAGCCATAAATAGAAGGATTAATAAGAAGCTTTATTGTAAAAAAAGCCTTTTTTCACACAACGGTAATATACCATTGTTCCATTTTATAGAACAATTGACTGAACATTCACTGTGATAACAAAACATATGTCAATGTCACACCAACCACAATAGCAAATTTCTATGGCACAACTGCCACAATGGCATATCTGTGTGACACCTTCAACAATGGCACATTTATACCTGGCGTCTACCACAATGGCTAAATCCCATGTCTCAACTACCACAATGCGATATTTTTAGGTCTCAACTACCACAGTGACACATTTCTATGTCACAACTACCACAATAACCTACCAGTATGTGCGTTTTGGCTGTGGAGTGATCAATATCTTTGACATGAGGAGTCATCAAACAAGCTGATCCTGCTTTGCAAATGACAGCTTTTAACCTGCTTCTCAGGATGAGTGGGGTGTTACCTGTAAAAAGTAAATAAGGCCAAAATTATTGAAAGATAATATAAAAAATATCAAGAATAATAGGACCATGAACATTTTTGCTCTTGAATGGAATTTAAGGGCAATGAGCAATCCCTCCGAGGTAGGTACCATTTGAAACATAACTCATCAATAAAAATAATAATAAGCCGCTGAGACTGAAGTCTGGTTACTGTAATTACCCAATTCTTAAATGTCACCACATTAATTTTCCAGTTTATTTTCAACATTCTGACACCCATCGATGTCAGAGAACACTTTCACCTACCCTCGATGACTTGGTCCACTTCCTCTCTGAAATTCTCAAACTGGAATGGCGTCAGAAACCCCAGAGAACCCAGGTGAAAGGAGAGCACAGGGGGACAGCTCAGCTGGAATTGGAAAAGTTTTATGGAATTTTTATTTAAAATATGATTGATAATGATATTCCAAATGTGTTCCAAACATGATCAAATAAAATGATTTATTAGTGGTATTTGATAAGTCAGTTATGTGATCCAGGCCTCTGATGAGGAGTAGAATTAAGTCTGAAAAGAATAGCTCATCTTTAAAAATTCATGTTAATTTATTAGCCACCATGAGATGGAAAAAAAAAATCAAAAAATGAAAACAGAAAATTTAAAACCATGCCTATTTACCTGGAAGAGTGAAGAGGTATATAACAGAGTGCCATCTCCTCCCAGACAGACCACCAGGTCTATCTTATCTGTCAGATTGTCCTTGTCTACAAATATTAAAAAACATGAAAATGTTACTTTTAGCTGAAAACGGATTATCTCATAGGTGCCACAACATTTGGGTCAAAGTTTTCTTTGACATATAAAAAAAAAAAAAAAAAAAAAGAGAAAATCTTGTTCAATTAATGAATGCACCAATTCCATAAAAGATTCATGTGTTTAATAAATGACTATAATTGAAGTGACAGAACAATACATTTACCTTCCTGAAAGAGAGTGACACTTTTTAAGATGTCCAAGAAGTCTCGGTCCGCACTGATACTTGGCTCATCTAAAGTCTTTGCCTCCACATATACTATCATTTGCTTCTCCTTTAATAGCAAGAAAATAATACTTTAAATTTACAAGAAAAATACCAAATAAATACAGTAATTCCAATGGTATCAGAGAAACAGAAAATGTTAACATTTACTGTGTGCCACATACAAGAGCAAAATATATCTGGGCTGTGCTTCAACGTAATAACGCTATTGTTTGTCACATACAATGAACAACTTGTGTTATAACAAGTACTAAATCTATTAGTTCATCATATGGGCAGTCACATGAGGACCCGTAAATAAAACATGTATAGCACCATGTTGTTATACAATACACTGCTCCATTCAGTTCATGGTCAATTTCATTTATTTTATTTCAGGCTTTTCAATAACTGACTTCACCCTGACATGCTTCTTCAAACTTCCAAAATGATTAATTTTGTCAACAACTTAATGATAAATTGGTGAGAAATTGATTTGTTAATGATTTACTATTTGATTTATTATTTAGCCATTGTGACAGTTATTCAAAGTTAACCATTTGTGAAAAAATGTACCAGTAAGCTTCAAAAGAAATTGATGAATTAATTTGCTATAGACAGTGAAACAACTCAATACCCTTATTAATGAATATTAACCCAGACCACTGATCTAGTCTGACATGGTGAATTTTTCAGTTTAAACCTTTGATCACTCCTGTGTGAACAGACCTCTGTAATGATGGTGATGTCACAGCCAGTAGAGGTCAGGAGTGATCAAGAGAAGCAGGCAGATTATGATCTGAAACTCACACCACCCATTCTAAAGGACATAATACATTTTACAGTGGGTAATCTGTTAGCAAGACTTTGTATGATCCACACACACTCACACACAGAAGTCTTGAGCCCAATTGATTTATTCAGGACAAAATGAAAAGTTATGTGATTTCACGGACGGAAAACTGTATCAGCACGTTCTTCAGTATTGCTTTCATTCACATGAATGGAAAAAGTTCACTAGTTATTGGACACCTGCCTCCACTGATAATCTCTTCCTTATAAGAAAGGAGAATCACTGATAATGACATGATCAAGGGATAATCCTTGGTAAGGAGAATTCCACTGGGTTATTTTTTATAACTCAGTGAAAAAAAGGTACAAATTATTTTTCATTTTAAGTATTACATGTGAAACATTACACTTGGATAGAATGCCTGGAATGTAAACTCCACATCTTCCATTTGCCCCTTTAAGTAATAGACCTACAAATTTACAATTGAATGGATTAATCCGTATTAAAAAAAAAAACATACATGCAATAACCAGGTTGAAAAGAAAACTTACCGAGACAAGATATTTTACAAGATCCTTGAATGGTCGGGAAACATGGTCGTCGTAGATTTTCTTAATGATGAGGACAGACAATGGCGGCTTGTACCAGTTTAACCTCTGACCCATGGGATCTGGTATTGTACTGAAAGATAAGGTCAAAGGTCATAAAAACGGGAAACACATCTTCACCAGTTCAATGAATTTGCCTAACATGCAACCCACATTTCAGAAATTAGAATAAAACGGTGAGGTGACTTGCAGGACTGCCTCAAAGAGTCTACCTTGTCATCTTGCATGTTCAGCCCATTCTTGCCCTCTTGTGCTCATCTCATACTATATAATTTATATGTGTATATATGTATATGTATATAGCTGGGCACAGTCCATTCACTCTATTTATATCAACATAAGGAATAGCATATGTGAGGTCACTGTTATTCATCTATCAGAACACCAAATATGTCTAGCAAATATCTTGCAAGGCGAGCATCAACAGTTTTTTTTTGCTTTTTCTATATAAGTTATTATCATTATAAGAAATAAGTGTGTTCCCTACCATCAACTGACCTGTGACCAACTGAAGTTTTCAAGGTGATAAAAATGGTGAAAAATAGGCACCTTTAGAACTGTTTCTGGTGATATACTGACCATGTACATACTAATAGTCCATACATTACAACCGGATGAATAACCATAGCCACAAACAGGTGTCTTCAATGAGGCAAACAACTGGTATGGGCTCAGCCAGGTCATACATCTCTCATTTTTTTTTCCATCTTAGTTTTTTTCTTAATTGCGCTTTTTACACAAAATGTTAAACAGATTTTTATTTTCGCATTACAATTTTTGAGGGTCTTTATGAAAATAAACTCACATACATCAGTATGACAAAATGAATCATTCAAAACCATAAACAAAACAATCAAAACCATCAATGAAACTGAAAATTTAGCGTAAGGTATACAAATTTTCAACCCTCTATATGAAATATTAAAAAGTGGGTGCACAACCTCTAATTTAGTTTTAGTTCATAAAGATAAGCATTATGTGTCCTGAATAACAATCTATATGCTAGAAGTCTTTCTACATGATCGCTCACCTATGACACCCTATCTCCCCATCCTCCCACAAAAGGTTGAAAGAAATGTAAATAGTTTCACTGAAGGTATTTCATTTATTTATTCATATATTCATTTATTTATTTATTCACTGATTGATACATTTATATGTTCATCTATTGATTGTTGACAGCCTAGCTTTTAGCAGCATATCTCGGAATCACCTGTGGCTAAAAATGAAACTATGAGTAATATACCCAGCTAGAGACCCCGTGGAAACTCCAACATCCGAATCCCAAGGGCCTGTTAGCCAAAAGTGCAAACTATATTGCTTGATGTGAATTAAGGGGCTAAGTCCTTGCTTAAAACCTACTAGTACATCCAGCCTAACATAGCTATATCCCTAAAATTGGCCAGGCGTTCCATCACAACACCTTCACAACCTACCTACCTCATCTACTCCAGATTCCCCTAATCTCAGCCCCGAGATTCCTGTCTCATGTCTCAGTTAATCTGGCCAACTGACAGGAATCCAATGGGGTACTACTAGAGCATGTGGTCGAGTTGACAATCATGGGTGACAAACTCCCCTTCAGTGCGATGCCAATTTTGTCACGAGGACCATACAATTTGTGCCTTGTTACGAGAAGTGTCCACATAATGTCACACAATGAGAGTACTGTCATTCAGAACTCTGTCTATTATAGTGTACAAACAGGTGGATATGGCTATATTATTATGTTCAACAAGTGCAGTCAATTCAACGTACCATATCCTAGTACATGAAATGACATAAGGTAATTCCTCTCTAAATTTGAACAAAATTTAGATTTTATACTTTACTGTATTATATAAACATGTAAGAATGAAGATAAAAAAATTCTGAGCTGTAAGTTGGGTTAAGAGCACAAAAAATGTTTTTCAAAATCTTTTTTGAGTTTGTAAAAATGAAGATTCTTAAAAAAAAGGGGATTAAGTGAGTCAGGATCATTACCATACTTTGAACTACCATAGCTGTAAATACTGTGACATTCTTAATCCTGCACTGATTCAGGCCCAGATGACATAATCAGATGGCCAAATTAATTCCCAATTAATTAAATACTGGCTATTGTTTCTAGTGTCCTTGTACCCCCCCTACTCCCCCTACCCCTGCTGCTAGCACATCCTAGACTAGACCTTACTTTTAAGAGATATAAGCAGCAGATTAATAAGCATTCCTGCATTTCTGCTTTGGAAAATACTTTGATAAAACCACATGCCAACTTTAACCCGTGTTTTCTTATTATTGTACATATGTCAGCCCATGTGTACCTATTCAACTAGTCCAGTGTAGGGAAAATGATATTGAAAATCATTAAAGAAAATGAGATCAATAGTATTGCCTAAATTTTTCCCAACAAAAAGTCATGCCCCACGAGTGCAAATACAAACAAACATATACACTGACAGACACACAAGCATATACTCATACACACGCAAGCACACACACACACACACACACACACACCAGTGATATACACGGACCACATACACGAGCATACACACACATGCACATACCTGTGATATACACACCACGCATGAATATACAAACAACAACAACAACAGCCAATCTTCTTTTTCATTATTACAAATACATATATTTATTCATACACACACACCCACACACCCTCTCCCTTCCTGAATTTTCACCCTCAAAGTGTTCTACTTACATTGTGCACGTCTGAGTCTTCATCAGGCATCCTTTTGGTCCGAAGTTGTTGCTAGGACTGGCCCCGTACAGCGACCTGGCACGCCTGAATAGCAACCATAGATCATAAATTATTAAAACTGAAATGAGTATTTTGCCTTTACATTTTAAAACAAAAATTATTTTAAAAATTATAAGTAGATTTCAGATTTTAGTCCAAAGTATTGATATATGACATTTATTCGTCTCAATTCATCATTTTAAAATAATTCTTTTACATATGTACATATATCTAATATGTTTAATAACTACTCAATTGAATATTTTTCAGGTATATATTTGTTATGTTACAATTAGTGTACCAAATGATTAACAAAAAAATATAATCAATAATTTATTTAAAAGTCTATGAACTTTAATGTAGGGCCTATTTATGTATAGGCATGCCATAAACAAAATTGAACAGTAATAAAACTTAGGTAACAACACCGTTTTTAAACAAATAAATTCCACTTGCAAACCCACGCAACATTTTGATAATCAATATATCAATATCATACATTAACAATATCAATATCATACTGTTACTTTTCTTCCATTTAAATGATCATGTGAACCAGCAAATAATAAATAAATACTCCAAGAATATTAATTGACCATCTGGGGCTATGGGCCTGTTCACAACCAGTTGATCTGACTAGTTCACAGATCAATATGGCCTGACCCACTTGAAAGCATGCTGAGATTTAATAGCTCTGTCCCTAACAGGGATGGCACACGTGGGAGACAGGAATTCCACTTGATCTGCGGAATAGTTAGTCCTTGGATGAACTGGGTCTGAACAGGCCCTGTGACTCCTAGCATATCATTTTACCCCAAAATAATCTATCAAATAAATTTTAATTTGGTAAAAAAAAAAATAATAATAAAAACTAGAGGATCAGAGAGGCGATACCGCCTCCGAATATTGTACCACCAGCTGGAGCAAGCGCATTCGTGTAGACCCCCNAACGGAGCCGGCGGAGCCGGCGGAGCCGGCGGAGCCGGCGGAACGATCCGGACGAGACCGAAACCATGTGTACCGCCAGCGCTAACGCTGGTGGTACAATAACAATAATAATAATAATAAAACAAACTAATAAAATAAGCTGTTTTCCCTTGCCCAAAAAAGGTCATATTTTATCTTTGACAGAATATTTTAAAGGTTCAATATTATTAAGGAGTTCCTTGATGTCATTTATCATTATAGTAAGTGCAGTAAAGCATTTAATTGGCTTTAGCATGAAAACATGGGATAACAGAAAACAAGCAAACAGGTAGGGCATCTAACACCTATATCTACTAAAGTGGGAAAATAAGGTGAAAATCAAACATTTTGGATAAAATCAGAGACCTTGGATATAATTCTACTACCAAGAAGCACCAAAAACATTTGATTAAAATGAATTATATTTTAAAAAGTCTAATAATCAAATACAGAAACTTCCACCTGGACAGAAATTGCAATATTGGTATGGTAGTTGATTTAGCAGACAAATTATTGATTTTTAGAGCTATAATGGCATTTCTGTCTAGCCTTGGGTCTAGTCACTTAACTGTCTGCAAATGCACTTCACAGGTTCTTGTGTACTGATACTGGAAGTGACAACATTGCCATGTGAGATAAAGACTCAATTAATAATTGTAACCAAAGGATTTGTTTCACCAAAAGTCTAAAGTTCTTGGGCTGTTTGCTAGAATCAAATAGTATGCAAAGTTCATATTCTGATATTTGGCTAAGAGTTTCAATTTGACTGGGCAACAATAAAATTCAATGTTTCGGTATTTGACAACTATTTCAGGCCTGCTGAAAAAATATCATACAAATTAGCTGCAAGAGGTCTGCAGGTGTTATAGATTTTTTTCTTTTCTTTTTGTGTGAAACATAACATAGTTGGCTAAGGCTTAGTACTGGTAGGCTAAAATATTAGCCCAAAAATTAACTTAAGACTCTTTTGTGAAACATTGCCTTGGATCTTGACCATTTAAAGATTTTAACCCTGAAAACAGAAAAATAAAAGTTATTAATGAATGTTAGTATAAAGAAATTACACCATCACCCTGTGGATCATAGGGTTGCAGTGATTCCTGTTTAAAAGAGTTCTCTTGCCTTTATTCTGTGCAGTGCCCCCTGTTGTCAGTATACACCATTCATCACCCCGTGAATCAGTGTGTTAAATAATTCCTGTGATACATATTAGCTTAAATTACCTTCACTCTAAGTATCATCGAGGGTGCAGCACTGCCTGTTTTTAGCATGCTATTTTCATCACCCTTAGTATCAAGGTGCAGTCATCCCTGTGTATTAGCAAATATTACCCCTCACCCCAAGTTTCACATGGTTGACAGTTATTTTTGTGTTCCATGAAGCACTTGCCTTCACCTGGGGTACCAGGGGCTTTGTAGTGAACTTTGTATATCAGCATATACAGCCCTTCACCCCAAGTATCAGAGGATTGCTGTGATCCTTGGTATGAAAAAGAATGTCCAGTGAATCCTTCTCCATAGAAACACATCATCAGGGTGTGGCCTCTAAATATTTACACAAAAATTTGACACTTATCGCGAACATTAACTCTCTGTTTTCCTTCTTGTGAATGAGAATTGTCACAATGAATCCTCTGAGCCTCAGGGCACTGTTCTACATAACATACCTTAATTGTACACATTGCACCCTGAATGCAAACAAAACAGTTCTTAAAATACATTTTTAATACACTTTTTTTTGTTTTGTTTATTTTGATTTGGGAAGGACTGAAAGATAATTTTGTAACTGGGCACTTTGTCATAGCCACAACTGTCACTACCCCGCTGGTAAAAACATTGTGTTGTGAGATTTCTTGGCTTGTCTCATCTTAGCTAACACAATTATATTTGGGCAGATTCTCTCTCACTCCTCCAACACACTCATACAATGTAGAAATATTCTACTGGCTCACTAGTGATCTACTGATTCATTTTCAAAATGATATATCCCTGTTGAAATCTTAATAATCTTATGTTAAAACAAATTGAGCAAATTTTTAAGTCTACTTTGAATTTGGATCATTAAATAAACAGGCTAGTGAGCAAATTAGACAGTTTTACAACCCCCCCTTTCTCCCATCATACAAGCACACGCACACAAACACACAAATGTACACATATACCTCAAAAAATGACTGATGATTTAACTTTGGTCAATAAGGTAAGTTTATAAGTTTATTGTAAGAGAAACTTCTCTTCTAATGTAAAATAATGCCCAGAAATGATAACACTTTTACCACTAGAAAGCAGACATAAAAAGTATAGATGAAAAATCAAAGCATGCAGAGTCATAAGCCATATACATAATCCATGAACTGAATTTGCAATTGAGCCCAAAGTTCATGCATTTACAGATGCAGCGTATGACAGACAAAATAATAAATCCCTTCGATCCCTTAATGCTACATACAGAATACTATAGATACACTTGTGATGATTAACAAATGAGATGATTAATTTATAATTATGGGCAAAAATGTAATAAACTAAATAAATACTTTCATTTGTCAAAAAATTTTATCAAGTTATTTTAATGCACACACACACACCCCCACATATATATAAAACCAAACACATTTTAACAACACTACACCAACAAGGTATATATATATTTTTTTTCTTATGGAAAAGTTTAAACCAAATACATAATTGTACCAAATGTACAAGTACATATAACATAAATACATGTAGACCAGGATGGACCAGATACCTTTACAACACCTACTAGTAGACAGTACTTACGATTCCTGTTTCATGTATTTGGACTTATCCTTAATTAGCTGTCTACGTAACAACCAGAGAGGACTCATTCATTACATGTTGACAAAATAAGGAAAAAAATTGTAAACAAGGACACTGGGAAACACTTCCATTAATAAAATTATTATGTATAGATGTACAGTTTTTATACTATGCCAAAGAAAGAGCTTTTTTTTATAAATAAGAAGGATATTAATAGCATAATTATCACCAAATAATTGGGGGATGTGAACAATAAGGGAACCTTCTAAAAAAATAGCAAAGTTCCAATATGCCAACCCCTTCATCAGATAGACAAAGCTAAGCCAGTGAGATGGTATACTAGTTTATCCAAGATTCTTGGTTCATCTTAAGGTTTTTCAAGAAACTATTTCTGAGATCAATCATGAAAAAAAAGTTTAACTTAAAGATGCATACAAAGTCAATTTTTTGTCACAAAAACCAACCAAATGCCAGCATATAGTTACAAGTAGTATAACTAAGAGAATTACCAAAAGGCATTGTTTAATTTTACCCCAAAGTGATGTTTGAACAGATTTTTCTGCTGGTATTCTAAGCTGTATGTCAATGGGGCAGGAAAGTAGGTCACGGAAGTAGGTTAAATTTACAACCATAAATTTAAAGAAAGGAGCAGTCTAAAGGTCTTTTATGGCCGATCGAGTGATCTATTCAGTTTATCCCTTGNAAAATTAAAAAAGTGTGGCCTAAGTGAAAAAAATGGCTAGCACTACCGCAGATGTTATACCTCTAACCTCCAGAGCAAGGTCCAAGAGAAATATCAAGACTGAAAAAAGGCTTAAAATGAAAAAGAAAAGATTACTAAAACAGAAGGAAAAACTTACCCCTTTTTTATCACCCTGCCGGCTATACATCCTCGCTGGCTAATGTGCAAAAAGACAAACTTAACTCAGTGTCAAAATACACATGTTCACAATAACTAGTTACTGACCATACAAACCCACATATATTTGAGATAAGTATTAGTACTGTAACATTTGGATGAACTTTTATTTAGCAGGGTACTTGTAGTTACTCTAATCCTCAATTAACTACTAGTTAGTGGTAATATTTTCAGACAATTTCACAAACGTTCTGCTTTGCTAAATAAATCAAAATCATAGGAGATACATTAAACACACTTGTAAATAAGAGTCAAAGTCTGTACTGCAAAATAAATGACACAACTCTAGTGTGCCCAATATATACCTTCCACTGCTTCTTCACCATTTGCTTTTACTGGTAGTTTTATCAGTATTAAGGATAAAAAAACTGATGAGTAGGAGAAGGAAATTAGAACTATGAGACATTTAGAGCTGATCAGGAAATTAAAGTCAATGTTACAGACTAATTCATGCCTCATTATGACCTCAGCTAATCATGGGGTCTAAGAGATCACTCGATTAAACCAAACTAGTACTGTAACAGGAAACTATACAATGAAAACCTCTCTGTCGTAATTTCCAGTAATATCTGAGGGCTTTTCCCAATGAAACTATGACCCCATTCCCACAGATTTTAGATCGATCTATCCCTGTGGGGAGTCTCACTAGATTACTGTCAGCTTAGCCGGCTTAAATGTCTGTCCCTCCTACTAAAAGCTGTAAGGGGGTAATTAACTACAGTGCGCACTCGGCTGACAGCAATTTAGCGTTAACCCCTAGGGAGCTAGGTTGGTCTAGATGGATCAATCTAAATCTATGGGAATGCACTCTATCATTCTACATAGATACATCCAACTCTTCAGGGACTGTCTGAATGCAAATAAATACTAGTAAGCAGATTAACATTCCTGCCTCTTTGTGCTCAATATAATTGCCTGCCAGGAGGAGGCGTGTTTATCTGTTAATCTCATTGCATTAATGTAGAAAGATAATTTCATTGAGAATGAACCCTATATAAAAAGTGTGACTGAAAAGCTGGAGTCATTTTAACAGACTCATGACTTTTATATATCTTATTTATTTACTTTAATGCGCTAAACATTTTCAAATATTATCTGTCTTTCTGTTCAAATACTTACTTTCCCCCTCGGTTTCTCTGAAGACGAAAGTTTCCATCGCTCACTTTCATCTCCGCGATTTCCTTGGCCACTTCCTCTGGAAGTGGCACCGCGGGGTCGATGTTCTCGTAGCCATCGGCTTCAACCGGTGTCCCGTTTTTACCTCTGAAAGTTCTTTCAGCCTCCGACATGTTGATTCTAACTGTGTCCTAACTATTCACAAGGATATAATGAGACCCTCGACGTCGGGAAACTCTTTGTGTTTTGATTCTTCCTGGTCCGTTCAATAAATTATTTCACGTGAAATCATGATAAAATGTAAACAATTATACGTAAAGGATCCGATAGAGGGCATCCAGATTTGACAAGACAAGCCCATTACTTCCGTGTTGTGTTTGCACTTGAAAACACTCAGAGGTGTAGAGGCGTGAGTTACTACACCGAGTTAACCTACTCTTTGTGGGGATAAGATAAGCTGAACTTTGCCTTACACTCTAAGAGAATGCAGTAGTTCAGTAGAGTTTTTCAACAGGTAACATAAAAAAAAAAAGACAAGAATGGTTGTAAACAAACATCCTGAAGCGCTGCTTTTGGCAGAAAACGGCAACTTGAAGAGTTTGGAGAGCCTTGATCTGAGTCTAGCCAACGACAGCGTTGCCGATGAACATGGCTCCAACTGCCTACACTACGCAGCAAGGACTGGAAATATCGACATCCTCAATTTTCTGATCCACAAGCGAAAATTCCGTGGGAATAAAAAGAATCGGGTCGGGGCAACTCCGGCTCACGACGCTGCTGCAACGGGCCAGCTCGATGCGCTGAAGTGGATGATCACCCACACCGATTGCGACCCTGATGACAGCGACGTCTCCGGGCAGACTTGCCTTCACCTCGCAGCAAGGTAATGGTGATCTGTGGTATTATCCTATGCTACTACCTGGATGGTAGAAAATTGTGTTGTAACATGAGCATCATGTAAATAATAGTGTCGTCAAAATTTAATGTGTCCTCAACTACGGGGATGGGGGGGGGGGGATAACATTTTGACCCTACCTACTGCTATATAAAAAGAAAGTACTTCATCATCATATCTTTGCATTAAATTCTGTCATCACAATGAGTTATGTAGTATGAGCACCTTACCCAATATTGCCAAGTTTTTTTTTTTGTACATTTTATTGCCTCTACATGTATATAAAGGGTTATTCCCAATTCATTCAACTTAATACTAGTACCAGTAAATTATACATGTATATATCCAACCAATAAATTACCATGATTACAATTATCTACCAGTTACGTATACAGTAAGAAGTGATATTGATATATTCATATCTTTAGGTATGACCACCCAGACATCATCAGCTGGCTCCTAGTGGAGGGACATGCATCTGTAATGGAGAGGACAGAAACAGGTGCCCTGCCTCTGCATTATGCTGCCTCATCAGGTGCCCTGGAATGTGTACAACTACTGGTGAAGGAGTCCCCAGGGTAGGTTGGACTGATTTTTCTTTTTTTTTTTTTTTTTTTTTTGTGACTGTTGTAGCTTTTGGTCGTGTTGATTTGATAGTCTCAGCATAACCCCCTACCCACCACTCAGAGAAAAATGTTAAAATGCTTGTAGTGCTAAAAATGTAGATTCATAAAATTTGAAAAGAAAGCTGGTTGGCCTCAATTTGTGTCAAAAAGTATATTGTTGTGAGCAACAGGGTTTCCCCAGGATTTGGGGTACAAGAAGTCCAAAATGTGAATCTGTAATTTAATAGTGGTCAATGATTCACTAGGAGTCCAACCCAAGCAAGCCCAACCTACCAACCCCAAAATTTTGAGGAAAATGGTTGTCCAAATAAAGGCTAGATGGCTCTCTGGGGAAAGCCTTGGTTTTGAGTATCTAAAAATGATAAATTATTTTTAAAAAATGAATATATATTAGAAATATTGAGATGTATAAAAATTTTACTTATGGTTACATTAAATGTTGTCATTGATCATGATACACAGAAGCAGAAACATGTGTTTTACATTCTCTTCAGTCGAAATACATTATTGTGCCCCCAGTTAGAAATACCTACATATAAGCATGACATGAACTCTGTTTACTTGTGATATATTGAATTGAAATATGGTAAGAATTTATTTTTTATCCAAATATACCACTGATGTGGTTGCATATTCTGTACTGTATGATCTAAAGCGTAGAATAAACTACTCATTTAAAATAGTAACAACATCACTATGTATAGTTCTTATATTTTACAAGGTTTATTACAGGCAGACATTTACTGCATACATAATTTGCAAAAAAAAAAAAATGCAATTTTTTTGTTCTTATTTGTGTTGTTGAAATAGCAATTTCCCTAAAGATATGTTTTCATCTTCTAGGAAGAGAAGTATCAGTTCTGGGAATTTTCTGATTGTAATGGAATTCAAAAACAGTAATTTTATTTTAAGGTGAATTCAAACCATTGCATTTAAATACCCACAGTGAGAATAGAATTAATAGGAATTTAGTTGAAGCGAGAAATTATAAAGAGCTACATATAAGTGTCCTTTTCACAGGCCCTCTATGTTAATGCAGTTAATTTCTGGGCGGTGGCAACCCACCCGTTCTGTCAACACACCTGACCTGGTAAACACATTTTTAATGGTTCACCCAAAAGATAAACTTGCCACACGTGGTATATACCTGAAATGTTAAGTGTGTTGATTTAACTTGATATCAAACTTACTGGGTCAGTTGAAATTTGAGATTCTGATCAGTACCTTTTGAACAAATTAAGAAAGGAATAAATTAAATGAGTTAATTGATAAATTTAAAAAAAATATTTTTTACTTTAAAATTAATACATTTAACAGTACATCTAGCTCAGAATCATATGTTGGTTTCTTTTATCCAAGAAATTCATTTTTGGCATTTGAGAAATAAGGTGCTAGTATATAAGGAATATTACCCTGAAATTCATCCCTTAATCTTCCAGTCTTTGAGGCAATACATGATGTGAAGAATTTTTTTTTTTTTTTTTTTTTCAATTTTGATTTATGGAAAAATGTCTTGAGTGAAATAATTGACATTAAAGGCCCCAGAGTCTGTTAAAATGACAGACTGTCTTGTTAACCTGGTAGAATTGGCATTTGAATCAGTCTGAGAATGTGTGAGGAAACGTTTGTGAAACTTTCCATATGTTCTGACTAAAAATAGAATTGATAAGTTTGTAGGAAACTGTGCCATGCTTGTATAGATAATGTTATTAATTGTACCACCAGCGTTAGCGCTGGCGGTACACATGGTTTCGGTCCCGTCCGGATCGTTCCGCCGGCTCCGCCGGCTCCGCCGGCTCCGTTGGCTCCGCCGGACGGCTACCGTTACCGCTTCTCCTCCTAGACGGTAAGGGCCCCCGTACCCATCTCATGGATTTAGGTCACCTATAATCTCAACTCGTTCCACGTAAAATTTGGGCTTTGTCGGTATTGGGGTCTGGGTGTGGCACTCATTGCAATGCACCCTTGTCTAAAAATGGCAAAATTAAATGCTAATTATCTACCCTACGGAAGGNTTTACACTGTTGGATTGTTGTTTTATGTCTCCCTTACTGTTTGACTGATATTTATTTTTTGCTAAACCCAAAAATAATTTTTATGACCAATGATACGTAGTCTGTATTTATTTATTTATTTAATTATTTATTTATGAAGACTTAGTTGTAAAATATGATAAAATGTATGTTTTTAGGTAAATGTTGTTTTCTAAAAGCAAGTATGTTTAAACAAGACTAAATTCTCCCTCTAATAAAAAAAACTTCAAAAAGCTCATAACCAGCTTTCTTCCCCATTTTTTTCCATTTTTATTATTATTTTGACAATCATCGATCCTTGGTTCAGAAGCCACTAAAACTCATGAAGACAGTTTTCAGTGTTCCCCTGAACTTAGGGTGAATTACAGTATACACAGTTTGGAGGGGAGGTTAGAGGTAATTTAAGCCACAAGATAATCAAACATTAATTCTGTGACATGGCTCTAGAACAAGCTTGTTACCTGGATATTGAACATGTAGGGAACATGTCAGCTTATCAACACCGCCTCCTCCTCTGGCCTTGAGTAGAATACAGAAAAGCTGGTGATTATACAAATAGGTTAGAAACAAAAGGAGTGTTAATCTCTTAATAAACTGCAATTGCATTCAGGGAGAGTGCTGGCAGAATTATCACATATATATATGTGGACTCTCCCTGAATATATATATATATATATTTTTTTTTTCAAACTACCTAGTATGATAACATGCAGTCATTACAGTTTCATTTTGAACACACCCTATGAGTGTATTATTTTTTTGAGATGTTCCTTTAATGGGTTCAGTCTGAACATTGATTGGTATGCATTCTCCTTGAAATTAATTGGAAACTCAAACAACTCTCCTGGGAATACTGGAGATGATTGAGGTGCAGGGCTGCCTTTCTGCTCTAGAGGGGGAAATATGCTTAAAATTTTGGGACAATACTTTTAGGTTTTAGCTGATAACTCTTGACTTATTTGAGTCAACTTTTGGGATATTGCTATAACAAACTTAAGGATTGGCCTTGTCCTTTACCAAATTTACTCTCATTTTGGGACAAATTTTTTTAAGATCAAACTGCCTCCATAAAATGAAAAAAAAAACAACAAAATAATCAACAATAAAAAATAATAAACAATTTCCATTCTTGTCTGGGAATACAACATTGATAGAAAGTTATGGAAAATTATGAGCTCCACAAGTTCATTTTTTTTTTTTTTTTTTTTTTGGGGGGGTGCATGCAATGGTCACAGTTGAAGCATGGGCACTTGGTTTTTCATTTTCCTGCTGTACCAATATATGCACACATACACACACACACACACACACACACACACACACACACACACACAGAGAGAGAGAGAGAGAGAGAGAGAGAGAGAGAGAGAGAGAGAAACCTTGTGTTTTAATTGTAAGCCAAGCAGATGAAATGGAGGCTGTGTGTTCAATGTTCGGCCTCAAAAAAGTTTACTAGTACTCTTTTTAGATAAATTATGCTTTACTTCTTATCATCATAATAATTACACCTGATAAAAACTCCTGTCAATCACCACATTTCAGAACTGTCAACATGCAGACCCAGAATGGTACCACGGCGGCCTATCTGGCAGCTCAGGGCGGCCATCTTGAAGTGCTTCGCTACCTTATCCATCACCGCGCAACCACCAAGATCCGTGCATACGATGGCATGTCGTGTGTGCATGCTGCCGCGCAAATGGGGCAGTTAACATGCCTGATATGGCTGGTAAGTAGTGGTTGTAGGATTGATGCAGCTACCTATCAGTGATTTTGATTTGATAATGTCCGAAACTACTACTAAGTCTACTACTACTACTACAACTATAATAATAATAATAATAATCCCATTGTTTTAAGGTGCTGTTAAATGATAAAAGCATCAAATTTTTAGGTCATGACTTTCTCTTACTAGTACTTTGAAATTTTTTAGGTGAAGACTTCCACTTAATTTGAAAAATAAAGGTGAAGATTTCCACTTCATTGAAAATGATTTAGGCGAAGACTACATATATGTCAAGTCAGAATCATATAGTATATGGCACTGCCAAATCATTTAAAAGCAGCACCTGTTTTCAAGATGTGGTTCCTCAGAGCTCGTCTGTTAATTATTAACTTTTTTGCCTTTTGTCTGATAGATTCTTGATCACCATGAGAGTGCAGATGACCGCGACTTCAGCGGGTCAACTCCCCTCCACTTCGCGGTCAGTCAGGGGCATGAGAGTACGGCAAGATGGCTGCTGGACCATGGTGCCCTAGTCACTCTTGACCATCTGGGAGGAAGTCCACTACATGATGCTGCATTGCATGGTCAGCTAGAGGTAAGTAATAGTTCTGAGATGAATTATGTAATATTATTGTATTTATAAGGTTTAGACTACAGGAACGTGAACAGGGGTGGATCCAAAGATATTTTCTGACAGCCTTCCATTATTATCTTTCTTGATCCATTCTCCATTTCTGACAGTATTCTGACAGATATATATTTATTTATGAAATGGGAACTAAAGGTTGCAGGTTTTAATAAACTCATCTCAGTGAGATGACAGAGCACCGAAAGGATACTGGTTTTAGAGATCAGATTCTTAATAAATTCTGAAACTCGGTAGATTGGGATGACAGAGCACAGATGGGATGCTGACTTTAAGATCACCTCTTTGATAAGCTATGAACTTCAGGGTGGAGCGAGATGACAGAGCACCTGTTTCTGATAGACTTAATCTTTGTGCTGTCTGTGGCCAAGGCAGTGAAAGGCAGTCTGGAATGAAGTCCAATATTTGATGAATAATTGAAAGGTAGAATGGGGCCATTGCATGACTATTGCAGGAGACGTGATGGATATATATATGTTATAGAATAGCGGGAGGGTGGAAAAGGGAGTTAAATCAGGAATTAGATACTTTGAGGTGGGTTTTTAAGAGATCTTTTAAGATTAAAATGAACAGAAATTATCTTTTGTTTTAGTATCACTGATAAAAATGCTCACTGATTGTTAGCATAACTATGCTTATTTCATTTCTTGTTTTGTAAAAGTGATTGTTTTAAAAATGTAAAAGATGTTTAAGGACATAGTAATATAGAACTGTGGAAATGTAAAAATATGGAAAAAGAATCTAAGTTTTGCAAAATCAGTAATTAGAGAAGAAATGAAAGCTTCACAAAGAAGCAAGATGGATTGAAAAATTATATAATAATAAAATAAGTCATATCACATTAAAAGTAATTGTACCACCAGCGTTAGCGCTGGCGGTACACATGGTTTTAGTCCCGTCCGGTCCGTTCCGCCGGCTCCGCCGGCTCCTGCGGCTNGTACCATTTTAAGTTATATATATTTTTTGCGTATTTTAAAAATTCTTGTTGATTGCATTTTTATAGCTTGTCAAGCATAAAACTGGTGGCTGTGTCCCTTATTTTGTGTATGTGGGGGTCTATACGAATGCGCTTGCTCCAGCTGGTGGTACAATATTCGGAGGCGGTATCGCCTCTCTGATCCTCTAGTATAAATTGTTATTTGGCATATGTTAAAATAAAAATATCTGGTAGATATGCCATGTTTTATATTGGGTCAATTAAGGGGGTGAAAAGAGGCAGTTTTTTCTTTAGAAAGAAAGGAACCCCTTTGAAATTTGCTGGTTACAGGCCTGAGCAGTATACCTGTCAATTAAGAAACATAGATTAAGCTGTCGCAATGCATCCCCCTCCTTGAGCCTCCCCATACATAATACATCACCTGGGACCAGTGTCTGGAAGTGCTGCCAGGGCAGGATCAACTGGTGACCATTGCCCTGTGAAGTGGACTCGTTCCCTGTGTTTGGGGCGTTGTCACAGTGTTATTTCAGGCAACCGGTGCATTGATCTCCCAGTCAGATGATCTGTATCTCACAGATCCGTGTGTCTTTTTCAAGGACATCTCTCTGCTACTGGTAATAGTGTGATATGCTGAACGGGGTATTTCACTGTGACATTTAATACATTTCCTGGAGCTGTCATTTATGAGTTGTTTACTACGAGTGCTGTGAAACACGGGATTTTTTCTGGAGTCAAGTTCTTGGAACAAACCCATTGCTTGACTACCTTGGAGGGCTCCCAGTGAAATTTGATGACGTGCTTTAAGAGGAAATGACAGTGGAAATGTTTGTTCCAGAATGGTTTCTTTATGATTCTACAGTACTGTGACTGTACTGTAGATCTGTGACACAAATGTAACACACCTGTGTAATGCACCTGTTCTCTGTGAACTAGGCGTATTGGTAACCATAGTTACAGTGCAATTTATCAGCCCACATGGGCAAAAATTCTCTGAGATTGTCAACACTGCTTAGAACGGTGTATTGATTGTGTAATATTCAGTATGGAAATGTTCTTGGAAACTGGATTTGCTGGGTGATTAATTACGTCATTGGTTCAAGTTAGACCACAGCTCCTTGTGTCTGGGCGTTGACATTATATTTGGAAACTACACATTGATATGACAGTCTGTATAAGGGCATCATAGTTGGTTAATATCTTTTATTTTATGAAAATAGATTTTATATTGACTGAGGATGTTGGGAGTATGATGTTTTACCTATTAGTCTCATAGTATCTGATTACAGGTAAGATTTAGTTAGATGACCTGACATTTCTGTCATTCTGAATTTTAAAAAGCTCAGAAATGTCATGAAACCAATTTATTGCACACAGCTTGGATTATGCAAAAGTCGTATATCACTGTCATTACTTCAACGCCATCCATTGATGCTGATAACATTGTAAGTTCTCACAATTAATGTAGTCTTTCAGAAAAGATATTTGTAAACAGATCTGGATATACCTGTACTAGTAATGTATATATTGCTTTGTCAGATGTGAGGATAATCGTTTATGGTGCCCAGAGTTTCAGAGATTTCTGAAGATTAAGGTCTGTTATTTTGCATCAGCTGATAAAGGCTAAGTTGCAGTCAACAATTCTGAACCTTGAAATTTATACCAGTATATCATCTGGAAACACAAAGAGTAGAATGTGAATTTTGGTGCAATTTATCTTTAGTGCCTACTAAGGTTGCCAAAAGTACAGAACTTGAAATAGGTAGATCTATTCATATAATATAAATAATATACCAGAATAAGTGCATGGGAATCTGTGCCCTAAATTGTATGGGAAGCCAGCTGTGAGTAACAACTGATGTGTTTCCAGCATCTTGATTTTTCAAAAGGTTTTTATCTTAGATCATTCAAGTACATATTACACTTTCATTTAGGAAAAAGGCTACATTAACCCTTCCCTGTGACATCTGTGGAACCATGTGTGTGTTAATTTCTAACTTTCAGTTCCAAATGAATTTGCATTTCCACTGTTTAGTGTCCATATCTAGTCATCATTGGCTTCTGACAGACAACCTGCTATTTTTGAACATTGATATCTTCATATAATTTCCATTTCTTCCATTTATATTTCAGTGTATCCGCATTCTTCTTGAACATAAAGCCAATACCACCATCACTGACAATGAGGGCCTCACAGCAGCCATGTTGGCTGAGAAATGTGGGTATTTTCAGTGTGCTGACCTCCTGAATGGTAGAACTGGAAATCAGGTAATTGTCTTTTTTTCTGTTAAAGCATTAAATGATCAAAACTTTTAAAAATGGATTTCTAAACAATGAGAACACTTTTTGGTTTAAGTAACAAGTTCTTTGTTGA